TTAAACTTGATTGTGAAGAGATTGGTGTCAAGTAGTCATGTTTGTATTGTATCCTGGAGGTAATAGGGAGCTTCTTGATCAGGGGAGTGACCTGAGCAGACCAGTAGTTTAGGAGTATTGATTTGTCAGCTTTGTTGAATGTGGAGCAGAGGAAGGGGAAATTTGAGGCAAGGAAATCAATAAGGAAGCTATTGGAATAGTCCAGGCAAGGGGTAATAAAGGCCTGAACTAGTGGTTCTATCTATATATTATTAGTATATTCAACTCTTTCTTCATCTTATGAACTGTGCAATGCCTTTTGTCAGAATGAGCCACACCATTTCTGATTTCTGATGTTCATCTTTTTATATTTATTTAGTATTTTATTTTTCCCTGATTTTATGTAAAAACAGTTTTAACATTTTTTTTTAAATTTTGAGTTTCATATCTCTTCTTTCCTTCCCCCCTCATTGAGAAGGCAAACAAACATGTAGACATGCAAAATGTATTTCCACATTAGTCATGTTGTGAAAGAAAACATAGATTTCCCCCCCCCCAAAAAAAAAAGTTTAAAAAAAGGATGCTGCAAGCTGTATTCAGAATCTGTTAGTTAAGAGCATTTTGCTCATTATTCTTATGGAAATATATTTCTTGTATTCCATCACAATCATGTACCACAACTTGTTCAACCATTTCCCAGTTGATGGGCATCCCCTCAATTTCCAGTCCTTTGCCACTAGAAAAGAGCTGCTAGAAATATTTTTGTATATTTAGGTCTCTTCCCTTTTTTGTTTTTTATCTCTTTGGGATACAGACCTAGTAGGGCTATTGCTGGGTCAAAAGGTATACATGATTTTATAGCCCTGTAAGCATAGTTCCATATCTACAGAATGGTTGAATTCAGTTTACAGTTGTACCAATTTTGCATTAGTGTCTCAATTTTCCCGCATCCCCTCCAACAATTGACATTTTCCTTTTCTGTCATATTAGCCAATCTGATAGGTGTGAGGTGGTACCTCAGAATTGTTTTAATTTGTATTTCTCCAATCAGTAGTGATTTAGAGCATTTTTTCATATGACCATATGACCATCTGAAAACTGCCTGTTCGTATATTTTGACCATTTATCAATATGACTCAGTTCTCTATATATATTTGAGAAATGAGGCCTTTATCAGAGAAATTTGCTGCAAGATTTTTTCACAGTTATGTTTGCTAACTGTATTTCCCTCCATCCTATTTCCCCCCCATTTGTTTTATTCTCTCTCTGCTTTTACCCTGTCCCTCCTCAAAAGTGTTTTGCTTCTGACTACCACCTCTCCCAAACTGCCCTCCTTTCTATCAGCCCCACCCCCCTCTTTTATACCCTTCCTCTCCTACATTCCTGTTGGGTCAGATAGTTTTCTATACCCAACTAAGTGTGTATGTTATTCCCTCTTTGAACCAATTCTACTGAGAGTAAGGATCAAGCATTCCCTGCCACCTCTCCTATCTTTTCCTTCTCCACTGTAAATGTTCTTTTATGCCTCTTTTATGTCAGATAATTTGCCACATTCTATGTCTCTCTTTCCCCTAGTGCTTTCCTCTTTCTCACCCCTTAATTTTTTGTAGATACTATCTCATCATACTCAACTCACACCTCTGTCCTCAGTCTATATATACTCCTTCTAACTGCCCTAGTAATGAGAAAGTTCTTAGAAGTTACAAAGTATCATCTTCCCATGTAAGAATGTAAACAGTTTAACCTTATTGACTCCCTTATGATTTCCCTTTCCTGTTTACATTTTTATGCTTCTCTTCACTCTTGTATTTGGAAGTCAAATTTTCTATTCAGCTCTGGTCTTTTTATCAGGTATGGTTGAAAGTCCTCTATTTCATTGAATACCCATTTTTCCAAAGGATTATACTTAGTTTTGCTGGGTAGATAATTGTTGATTGTAAGCCCTCCTCTTCATTAATGTAGAAACTGCTAAATCTAGAGACTGTGGCTCCACCATATTTGAATTGTTTCTTCTGAGCTACTTGCAATGTTTTCTCCACCTAGGAGCTCTAGAATTTGGCTATAATATTCCTGGAAGTTTTCATTTTGGAATCTCTTTCAGGAGGTGATCGACAGATTCTTTCAGTTTCAATTTTATCCTCTGGTTCTAGAATATCAGGGAACTTTTCCTTGATAATTTCTTGAAAGATGCTGTCTAGGCTGTTTTTGATTGTGGGTATCAGGTAGTCCAATAATTTTTAAATTGTCTCTCCTGTATCTATTTTGCAGGTTAGTTTTTTCTCCATTGAGATATTTCACATTTTCTTTTATTTTTTTTCATTCGTTTGATTCTGTTTTATTGTATCTTCATGTCTCATAAAGTCATTAGCTTCCACTTGCTCAATTCTAATTTTTAAGTAATTATTTTCTTAAGTGAACTTTTTTTAACCTCCTTTTCCATTTGGCCAATTCTACTTTTTAAGGAGTTCTTTTTTCAGTGAATTTTTGTCCCTTTTTTTCCCACTTGACCAATTCTGCTTTTTAAGGAGTTCTGATTAGATTTTTGAACCTCTTGTACCATTTGGCCTATTCTTTTCTTTAAGGTGTTATTTTTTTTAATTTTTTTTTTGTGCTTCTTTTACTAAGCTGTTGTCTTTTTTCACGATTTTCTTGCATCATTCTCATTTCTTTTCCCCGTTTTTCCTGTACCTCTCTTACTTGATTTTTAAAATCCTTTTTGAGTTCTTCCATGACCTAAGACCAATTCATATTTTTCTTTGAGGCTTTGGTTGTAGGAGTTTTGACTTTGTTGTCTTCTTCTGAGGGTGTGTTTTGATCTTCCTTGTCTTCATAGTAACTTTCTAAAGTTTTTTCCTGTTTGCTCATTTTTCCAGCCTATTTCTTGACTTTTAACTCTGTGCTAAAGTGGGGCTCTGCTTCCAAGGTTGAGGGTGCACTGTCCCAAGCTTCAGGTGTTTTGTGCAGCTGTTTTTAGGGATACTTCTACAGACCTGTAACTTTTCAGTTCTTCTAAGGAGAGGTATGTTTACTATTCTCTTGGCCTAAGCTCTGGTCTGTGAGTGATCACAAGCACTCTTTTCAGCCCTGGGAATGTGATCAGGGTCCCCAATCCCCTATGGCCACAAGCTGTGGTGTGCTAGTGCTCCTCCTTGCTCTGGGACTGCCACCCAGGACTATGACTCAGATCTGAGTATGGGCAAAAGCAAGAGAGTCCTGCCCCCAATACCAGCGAAGGGACCCTGTAATCTTCTTCTGTCCTGTCGTCTGACCCCCTTACCATCTGTGGCCTAAGAGTTCCAGAAGCAGCCACTGCCCGTACTTATTTAGTAGCTCCCAAAGCCTGTTCCTGATTTGTTGGGGCCTGGTTTGCCCTGGCACAGCCTGCACTGGACTGTGCTCTACTTTCACCCTGTTGCATCTCACAAGTTTTCTTGGACTGGAAAATTGCTTCATCCTGTGCTTTTATGGGTTCTGCCAACCCAGAATTTGTTTTGAGGCATGATTTAAAGTTATTTCGAGAGGAATTTGGGAGAGTTCAGGTGAATTCCTGCCTTTTCTCTGCCATCTTGGCTCCATCCCCCTCTGAGGTTAATCTTAGTGTTGCTCTTTCTGCCTTGAATTTCATGATCGTATTGAATTACATACTTTCGCCTCAGCTTTTCCTTTCAATCACAAATTGAATTTTCTCCTCTTATTTCTCAGAATTCTTCACATTTTTTGCTTTTGGACAATGATTGTGAATCTTCTGCTTTAGGCCAATGACTGTGACTTACTGGTTTTTCAACCATCTGTTAGTAATACTGCTAGTTAGTGATTTGGCCAATGCCTCTGTTCTTCTTTCCCATTCCCATTCCCATCCCCAGGGGTCATCTGTAGGCGTGTTATTCTTGTTGTTTGTTTTCAGTCATGTCCAACTCTTCATGACCCCACAGACTGGAGCACACCAGGCCCCTCTATTCACTACTGTCTCCTGAATCTTTAGAAATGTATCCAATCTCTAGGCTTCAAGTAGCTTAATTAAGGGGGTGAGACAGCTGGTGGCGTATTGGATAGAGCACTGGGCCTAGAATCGGGAAGACCTGAGTTGAAATCCAGCCTCAGACACTGTGTGACCCTGGGCAAGTCATTTACCTCTTTCTGCCTTAATCCACTGGAGAAGGAAATGGCAAACTTTTCCAGTATATTTGCCAAGAAAACCCTATGGACAGCAATGGCCTTCTGTGGTCCGTTGGGTCACGAAGAGTGACACAAATGGACAACTGAGCAACATCAAAATTAAAGGAGTAAGCATATTTCTTAGATGTAGAAGTCCTTGAATCTTGCAAATTTCTTTCATCCTCATTTCTTCAGGAAAAATTTCTTAAATATTATTTTCTGGGTTCTTATGACTTGAGGGGGGGAACAAGAAAAAATGAGAAAAATGGTGTTTTGCAATGTTACCTTAAAATCCTTCTCTTAGAATAACTAGAAACCACTTAGGTATAGGTACAAACTCATGCTTGCATGAAAACTTTGTATTTCCTGGGAATGAAACTACTTCCAAACGTGAAGCAAACTAGATAAATATGAGTGTGATTAGGTAGAATCTTACCGTTAGACTGAAACAGTGCTTCTCAGTCCAAGCAAACCCTCTGGTTTGAATGATGGTACTTTTAAAAAGAAAACTTTCTTTTAAAGTGAGTATGTACAAAGTACATAATGATAATAATGTATGATAATTTTATTATTGAAAATCCAGTGTTTTTATACTAAATATGAGAATGTTGTGGTAAATAGAACCCTCTGTCGTTCATCTGATCAATTCAGGAGCATCAGACAATGCAATTTCCTACCATTTCTGTTTTGTTCAGTTTAATGTTTACTCTGTTAATGTTATACAGGAAACTATAAGCATTTTGGGAAAAAAGTTAATATTTTAATTAATAGAGTATGCTCATGGACTCTTTGTGTGGTTTATTCCTTGACTAATGAGAAGTTGTGTTAACCGAATGTAACATTGGATTTTGTTTTGCTTTAATCAGAGAGACTGGTGGTGGTAGCTGAGCACTGTGAAAGGAGTCTGGAAGAATTACTCCGAGGGAGGAAACCTGTGAGGTACTGTGGGATGTCAGGATGATTAGGAGAGAGAAGGGGCAAAAACTGGCAAAAGAAAAAGCATTTTAAGTGAAAACTTCAGAGTATTGTGTTTTTTTAATTGCTTAATTACAAAATCCAGGGACATTTTTTTTTTTAATTTTAGGAAATTTAATTCACATACGCTATAGATGTTCAGTATTAACATTATCCAGGGCTCAGGAAATGGCACTGAGGCATGTTCAAACTGCTGAGCAACTGAGTTTTTAGGAGGATATGTTTGAAAATGTGGTCTTTCTAGTGCTAGGCATTTTAAGGATTTGAGAGAGAGAATACTATGATTTACTTCATTATTCATCTAAAGTAGTTTATTTTATTCACAATTATTTATGAATCAAGATGATTGTGGTATTTAACTGAAAAAGAATATATCTTGGAGGAAAAAAAAGCTAGCTCTTTAAGGTTTTTAAAATACTTTACGTGTTATCTCATTTGATCCTCAAAACAATCCTGTGAGGAAGGTGCTATTGTTATTTCCATTTTACAGATGAAGAAACTGAGGCCGAGTGAGGTTAAGTGACTTGTCCAGAGTTATGAAGGCAGGAAGTCTCTGAGGCAGTATTTGAATTCAGGTCTTCATGACAACAAATCCAGCATTCTCTACTCTCTGGAAAAGCATCATTCCAGAGTTCCCAGGTCAAGGAGAAAATATTGCAAGCAGCCAGGAAGAAACAATTCAAGTATTGTGGAGCCATAATTAGGATAGCACAAGATTTAGCTGCTCCTACATTAGAGGATCCGAGGACTTGGAATATGATATTCCAGAGGTCAGAGGAGCTAGGATTCAAACCAAGAATCACCTACCCAGCAAAACTGAGTTTAATTCATGAGGGGAAAAAATTGACATTCAATGAGATAGAGAAATTTAATGCATTCTTGAAGGAAGACCAGAGCTAAACAGAAAATTTGATTTTCAAATATAAGACTCAAGAGAAGCATGAAAAGGTAAACAGGAAAGAAAAGTCATAAAGGACTTATTAAAGTTAAACTGTTTACATTCCTACATGGAAAGATGATATTTGTAACTCATAAGACCTTTCTTATTATTAGGGTAACTAGAAGGAGTATATATAGGCAGAGGGCACAGGTGTGAGTTGAATACGAAGGAATGGTATCTAAAAAATAAAATTGAGGGGTGAGAGAAATATACTGGGAGAAAGAGAAAGGGAGAGGTAGAATGGGGTAAATTATCTCACATAAAAGAGGCAAGAAAAAGCTTTTATAGTGGAGGGAAAGAGGGGGGAGGTGAGGGAGAGTGAGTGAACCTTACTCTCATCAGAATTGGCTTAAAGAGAGAATAATATACACACTCAATTGCGTATAGAAATCTATCTTACCCTACAGTAAAATAGAGGGGAACAGGATAAGAGGAGAGGAGGGTGATAGAAGGAAGGGTAGATTGGGGAAGGGAGTAATCAGAAGCAAACAGTTTTGAGGAGGAACAGGGTCAAAGGAGAGAATAGAATAAAAGGTGGGGCGGGATAGGATGGAGAGAAATATAGTTAGTCTTTCACAATGTGACTTTTGGAAGTGTTTTGCATGACTACATATATATATATATAAAACCTAATTGCTTGCCTTCTCATTGGGGGTTGGAAGGTGGGGAATAAGGGAGAGAATTTGGAACTCAAAGTTTTAAAAACAAATGTTAAAAAGTGTTTTTTACATGTAACTGGGGAAAAAATAAAAAGCCAAATTAAAAAAATTCTAAAAAAAAGAAAAAGTAAGTATCAGCATTATGTCTGTGTCCACTAGGAATAGTGTCAGGAGTGTTAAAGCCTTGGAAGAGCTGGTAAAGAAAGTTAAGGACAAAAAAAAGTGTTTTGTTTTGTTTTGAGCTTACGTGGAATGTGGTGGTTTTAACAGATGACCAAAAGGAGGCAGAACAAGCAACTCAACTCTTAACTTTGCTTCTGTTTCCTTTGCCAAAGAGAAGCCTTTTTGGACTATGATGGTCAAAAAATGGCTGATAGGAAACAAGGAGCTGAGAGGAAAGATTAGTAGGATGATGGTAGGAGAGCATCTAGCTTCTCTTGAATAATTGCAGAGCACATGTCCTGAGAGTATGGCAGATGTGATTACTGAGCCATTGCCTCTGAATTGTCTTTGATCATGAAGAAAGGGAGAAGCATCACAAGATTTCAGAAGGGCAAATATTCTCTCTTGTTTGTTTTTTTTTAAAATGGAAAAGAGTGGAATCTGTGCACCACAGGCCATTGAATTAGATTTCAATTCCTGGCAAAATTCTAGATGATGTTATTAGAAGGTTGGTTAGTGAACAATTAGGAAAGGAAGAGGTAATCACAGAAAGCCATTGTGGCTTCAACAAAGAACGGGTCAGATCACAAACATAATTTCCTTTTTTAAAAATTTTTTTGGTAGGCTTACTAGACTGGTAGGTAAGGGACATGCAGTAAATGTAGTTGACTTAGATTTTAGCAAGGGATTTGATTCTCAATCTATTGAGATTTGGGCTAGCCCAGGGGTGGGGAACCTGCAGCCTCAAGGCCACATGTGGCCCTCTAGGTCCTCAGGTGCAGCCCTTTGACTGAATTCAAACTTCACAGAACAAATCTGTCTTCTTTTTCTGCCCCAAGAGTTCTGTATACATATCTTGGCATAATACACATATAATCACTTAATATGTGTCCTGGAGCAGAGGGAAAGAAGGTTGTCCCATTGTCCTGATGAAAATCATGTTGGGAAGTTGGGGAAGGGTGTAACTCAACGAATAGAACCTACCAAGTGGTAGGTACCAAGGGGAGTGTTAGCTCCAGATTCTCTAATCACACATTCCTCCAGTCTTAACAGCTTTTGGGAATGGGTCATCAGAAGTCATAGTCTGGAGTTTATATGTCTAAGTATATCAAGGATCATTTAGGTTGTGGAGAGATTAAAGATTATACCTTTTGGTACTGTTCTGTATACATACATCCTTCTCTCTCTCCCTAATCAGCCTAAAAACTGCACTTAATCTCATTTGTTTACCTTTAGAAAAGACCTTTTAAGTAGGTGCATCTTGTCTCCTTTCTTTGCCTTTCAAGAAAAAAAAAATCTTCCCACCTTTTTATCCTTTGACAAGGAATTAAGCCTAACATTTCAATCCACATTAAAAATTAAAGCTATAAAAAGCAAATGTCTCACTAAGGCAGTGTTTGCAGTGAAATTGATTGACTCTAAACCTAAATTGAAGAGAGCTTACACAAATGCACAAGACTAAGACCCATTCATTCGCCAGCAACCAAGGGGTCAAAAGATGTAAAGAAGTAGTTTGCAAAAGAAAAATAGAAAACTATTAGCAACCATCTGAAAGAATGCTCCAGACCTCTAGTAAGAAAAAAGCAACTCTGAGATTTCACTTCACACCCACCAAATGGGCAGAGATGAAAAGGACATACCACAGAGAGACAGTCACACTGATGCGTTGCTGGAGAAGTTGTGAATTAGTCCAATCCAGGGGTGGGGAGGGAGCGTGTGGCCTTGAGGCCACATGTGGCCTTCTAGGTCCTTGGGTGCAGCCTTTTGACTGAGTCCAAGTTTTACAGAACACATACTTTTATTAAGGAGATTTGTCCTGTGAAGTTTGGATTCAGGCAAAGGACCACATTTGAGGACTTAGAGGGCCATATGTGGCCTCAAGGCCACAGGTTCCCCACCCAATTTTGAATTATGCTAAAATAGGGAGCAGGAATGTGGCCATTTTCCATCTTCTTATTTCCAGCATGCAATGGATGCTTGATAAATGCTTATTGAATTGAATGTTTGTTGAAGGAGAACATAAATTGGAGACCAGAGACATTGAGCCCACCGCTCAATCAGCAAGCATTTATTAAATGCCTGCTCTATGTCAGGTACAGTACTGGGGTACAGAGACAAAAATGAAACTGTCCCTGCCTTGGAGGACAGACTTGACAGCTTGTCAGTTTTGCCTTGGTTCTGCCCTGTGCATTTCCTATGCACAGATATCAGTAGATGTATAGAGGTATTTTTGTCAGGCAAGACTGTACAGCTTAGTGGGAACCACTGAACCATATGATAAAAATCCACATTGCTTAATGATTTCGAAAGTTGAGAGTCCCCTCTTTTTTTTTTTTAAATTGGCCAACTTCATCATTGAGGAGCTGTCCCCAGAAGGTCCATTAATTAAGATATCACCGTTTTGAGATTAGATCTGGTAATAAAGTAGCATGAGCATGAACCAATATTTTCCTTGTATTTTTCAAAATATAGCCAGCCCCCAACCTTCAATATCTGCTTTGTTGGAGAGAGTTTCGTTAGTGGGCAGAAGTGATTTTGACAGGATCAGTTTCAGGTTGTATTATCTGATTCATTCACCTAAATTAACTTTGTTGAAAATGATCTGACTTTTTCCACATATTTAGATTGCATTAGTCTCTAATAACAGAGCTGGTCCCATATGAAGAATTGGTGTCCATACTATTGTAATTAATTTCATAACTTGCTTATGGAAAAGTGAGAAGCTGCCCTTATGGTTTATAAATCAGTTCTTTCCATGCCTGCCAAAAGTATAAGTCCTCTGCACCTGTATAAAAGACTGATATAAAATCAACAGGAAATCTCAGATTAAGTTAGGGTTGCAATTTAAGACATGTGACTTTGGACTGTCCATCTGTCCATAGCTATTGCAAAACTGCAGGCTGCCAGCTGTCTGGTTACACGCATTTGAGGCAGTTTTTGTTGTTTATGTTAGGAAGGAGAAGGGAAAATAAGCATTTATTAAGCACCTATTATGTGCCATGTATTGTGCCAAGCACTTTACAGATATCTCGTTTGATCCCCACAACAAATCTGATAGGTGCTATTATTTTCCCCATTTTGCAGTTGAGGAAACTGAGGCAGATGGAAATTAAGTGACTTGCTCAAGGTTAAGTGATTCATCCCGGGTCCCACAATTAGGAAGTGTCAGAGTTGGGCTCCAGACCTGCTGATTCCAAGTCCAA